CACCTCTGCCTCCATGCAGCTCTAGGCAATCATCATTCTAATGTTTCTATGAGTTCTGTCTTTTATATTTCACAAGTAAAATAATACAGTAGAGAACTTGTCCATCTATGTCTTATCACTTAGCATAATGTCTTCTAGGTTCATCCATGTATTTTTCAAGGCTCAAAAAATATTTCAGCGTGTGTGTGTGTGTGTGTGTGTGTGTGTGTGTGTGTGTGTGTGTGTGTGTGTGTGTGATCTTAATCTAGGATCAGGAAGGCTAATTTCATATCGTGGCTAAGAATTGTGCTGCAGTGAACGTGAGTGTGATGTCCCTTCAATATCCTGATTTCAATTACTCTGAATAAGTAGTTGAAAATAGGACTGCTCTAATATGTTAGTTTTATTTTTAAAAAATCTTAGAAATTTCAATGCTGTTTTTCCTAGTGGCTGCATAATTTCACATTCCTACTGATAGCATTCTAACTCCTGCACATCCCCACCAACACTTGTATTTCTTTGGATGGTATCCACCCTAGAAGTCCAGGGGCTACTTTGCTGTGGTTTGGATTTACATTTCCTAGCCACCAAGCCCAAAGGATCCCCATCTCTGCCCCTCCCCCAGCTCTGGAGCTGTGGGCTTACACCATGACACTCAACAGCTTTTACATGGACGCCATGACTTCTACAACAGCTCTAGAGTCTGAGCTCAGGTTTTCACGTTTGGGCAGCAAGCACTTGACCAGGCGCTTTGATCATCTTTTATTCAGGCGACTTGTTCTTTCACTGCAGAGATGGAGGCTGGCCACACTGTCATCTTCTTATTTTGCTTTACACACTTGGGTCTATAACAGACCTGGAACGTGCCCTTGGGCATGGCATGAAGCGGGTGTTTTAAAGCCATGAATCTATCTGTTTAAAAAGTATCAGGGAAACTTATTAAGGTAAATTGAGGAAATACACTCATGAATACAGAACTGAGTAGACAGCTGAAGACATCCTCTGATCTGACCTGGAGCGATTCTACTCACAGGCAAGAGCAGGGAGAAGAGGCATTCGAACCTTCTCCCTAGGCAGAGCAAAGACCACTGGAGTGTTTCTCCAGATATTGCCACAACTAACTGTTTGGGCGGGAGCTTCACCTCAGCCCCTGACACCCTGGCAGCATATGCCCAAAGAGTCTATAGTGTTCTGGTGGAAGATCCACCTCAACTCCCCTCGCCCATCTCTTTCCCCAAACCCACCCCTTCAAAGCCCGCCAAACACAGCTCCTCCCCCAGAGAGGCTCAAGACCACTCCCACAGGGTATTTAAGCTGCATCCCAGAAATGGTTTTCTGGTCTCTCATCCAGTCTCCTCTCTTGGGGGGCTGGAGAATCACCCGGGAATGCTTTACCCATTAAACCTGGGCTTTTTCTAATTTGGTCTGATTTGGATTGCTGCGTAGGCAGAGAGGCTTACCAGGGTGCGAAAAAACTTATCACTAATCCCATGCCATCTATTTAAAAGTAACTCACCTTTGCCACAAGCGTCTGTGTCCTTTCTGAGTTCAGCTGTTTGCACTTCTCTTACCTAAAGGGAAACGTGGAATTCAGAAAGTCCCACC